AAGAGCTCAAGTAATAATCTAAAATGATACCAAAAATTACGATGCTAGAAGTGAAACTTTTGTTTTTCTGATTTTTGTTATAAAATTAGGCTTAGCGATGCAAAACCTCCGTCCTGTACGGTGACTGCCTTCGATTCTCTTGCGTTCCGTATGAGCGTCTTAAACAAAGGTGCGCCGTCGCAAAAAGGTTAAGGCACCTAGTTTCATTTCTATTGTCATGCTAGTTTGGCATTTTCATTTCACAGAATATCAAAGGTTCCCAAAAATATGTTAACTCACCTGGATGTGAACTGAGGAACAATACCCGCAATGAACTGGTGGGAGTTTAGTTTGCAATAAAATGCAGTCGCAAAACTTCAGACAAGCCTAACATTTCACAAACAATAGAAAGGAATGTGAGCCAGCAGTCAGCTGCTACCTTTCTTCGTATTCTCGAAAGAAGCAAACAGCATTTCCAAGTATTACAACATATCTTGAAATTTGTTAGGTAGTGCAATATTTGCTCTGTTTGGCCTAGAGATATCTTGGAGACGTTCCTGCAAAGTTGTTGAGTTTGTGGGACTCTACTGTATCTCTATCTACTTTTAGTGGTTTATATCACAATGTTCACATTAGAAACATTGGTGCTTTCTGAGTATACACATCCCTGGTTTTAATGCTCGCTAGAATTGCTGTGTTTTGGCATACTCTCAGGTCACAGTAGTCTGCTTATGGATGTGTGTATCATACATGTATTTGAGTATGCATGGATGTATATGCTTTATATTATATTTAGCCTCATTTCAATGTAATAGCATTCATTGGCAGTACAAATATATCATTCATGTAGGTTCTCCCCCTTATAACATTTCTTTTTCCCTTGAAAAGTTTCTATTTATTATTATTTGTGAACAGAAGTGTACCTGTGACTTGTAGCCAAAAAAGATGTTTTGTGCAAATTCACAAAGTCACCACTGCTCATTGTAAGTATTAAAAGATCCATGGTTTACTTTTTCATAATTTTGAGCAATGCTGCATTTTGTTTTGCTGCCAAGATATTTATTATCTACATTGTCTGGTAATTGTTCATATTGTATGAGGTATATAACCTTTAATTTATTATTCGTGCAGCCTAGCACATTTTCAGTTCTCATATGAGAAGTCGTTTGATGTGGCGTAAGGTTTTAAATTTATTTTTCAAATAAAACTGTGTGCATTGCTTATTTTTACTTAAATATCTAAGTATCAGAATTAAATATGAGTAATATTCAGTATTTATTAATCACATAAATTTACTTTTCTGACTATGTATATATATGTAGTAATTGTAGTTTAAAAGTCACAGTATATTTATATTTGACATTTATGAATGCAATGCCACTTTGTAACATTTCTTTTTACAACATTGTATGCTGTATTATCAAGTTGCAAATTTTTCCTTTTTTAAAACTTTTATTTACTGTGATTTATAATGTGAATATTTTATCAAAAGTAAGAAGCATGCATCAGTTATGTACATACGCAGTATTTAAAGACTACATATGTTTGGTTAGAAACAAATTTCAGAATAAGTAAATTATTATTCTTTAACATTCTTTTTTTTTTAATTTTAATATGTTAAAGTACAAGAAGGTTATCTGCCTAAGGGGAAGGCTGCCTTCATGGAGGACTTTCTAAGAGAAACTGGCTCATATCCACATTACATGCAGGGAAAACCAAAAAAAAAATGTCTATGCAGCCAGCCTATTCAAAGACAGTTTGAACTACCAGTTTTCAGTGACTTTACTGCTCAGCCACTGGTTGACTCTGTTTTAACATGCATAAGTTTAATGAACTGTGTTAATGTACTCTGAAAAAGTACTCGATTTTATGTGAACTAATTTTACAGGTTTGAAACTAATCTAATCTGAAAATGTGGAGGTTGCTAAGGTTTTCTTTTTACAGAGGAATTTCCTTGTTTTATTTAACTTTAAAAATTTGGAGTAAAATGTTAATTTCATCTTTTGTATAGTGTCTGTTAAGCGAGAATTTATACTTAGAAAATTCTTTATAAGAATAAGAATTGGGGGGGGGGGAAGCAGTTATTTTAAAAGCTGTCGTTATAATATTTATCTGTTAGTTGCAATCTAATTATAAATGTTAAGTAGAATTAGGTTTAAATAACAGTTTATTTTTATTTAGCAGATTTTTATTCATTGTATGATTTTTCTTTCAGCATTCTAAGAAACCCTTGTGTGGAAATGAAGAATTAGCAGTCAGTTGTAAAGTATTTCATATAATGGAGACTGATGATAATCCATGTACACATACAGTAGCATATAATAGTGCCCATATTTTATCTGCTGTTGAAAAGAAAGATATCTTGCATCCCTCAAAATGTAAGAATTCTGTGTCTTACTCAGAATCGTGTAGGTCGAGCTGTGTTGGAATTCTTGTTCCTGTGGCACCTCAGCTAACACAGAATTTCTCTTCTGTAAACAATAAAACTGTTTCTACTAGTCTACATAAAGAAAATAATATGAATTTTGTAAGTGAAAGTAAAGCAAAACAGCGAGATGAGCCTATGGGTGGGGAGATTAATTTTATTCAAAATCTGAATGAGAAAGAAAATGTTTGTCCAACTGAAAGTAAATACATTAAATGTAGTGATGAAGATTCAGAGAGTAATGATTCATCTGATGATTTTATTGATGCTTTATCTCTCAAAGTTAAAGCTTTACTTCAAGACAGTGATGAAGAATTTGAAGCTGAGACCGTTTTTTCCCCAGTAACAGGAAATAAAGCTCTGTCTAAGGAACATGTGTCTCAGTCGGATGTATCTAAACATTCAACAAATGTCAATGTTCAAAGACAGGAAATTGTGTCAAAAGTTGACAGTGGACCTACTGCATCATATCAGAGGAACTTTATAGGCTCAGATTTGATGACTAGTCATGACAGCTCACAGATATTTTCTGAAGACAGAAAACGTGAAGAAATTGAACAGCTTCAATTTAAAAGCAAAGAATGTGGATTATCTGAAAGATGTAATTCACATGTATCTGTTATAAACATTTGCCAGTTTTCCAATTCTGTGAACAATGACGATGTTCTGCTTTGTGGCGAGATGAACAAAAATAACATAGCAAAATATTCTAATGAGTTTTCAAAAATGAATAAGTCTGAGAATTTCTCATTCAGTTCTGCACTTTTATATAAATCACAAAATAGTGATTTGGAGCAAGTTGCCAATACCTTTAGCAAATCAGAATGTATTGATTTCAATGTTATTGATGAAAATGTAAATCTCAGTAATGAAATAACAAAGAAAAATAGCTGTTTACAGCATCCCTTTTCAGATGCCAGTTCTGAAATATCATGTAGAAAATGTAGCTTGTTTGTGGAAAAAGATGGCTATGATTATAAAAGGAATAATTCACCCATTATTAATTTACCATCTGATAGTGAAGCTGAAAGAAGTTGGGCTGAAATTATAGTTTCAGCTGAATCTGTTCCTTGCCCTTCTATTTCTTATGAGCCAAAAAATTCTTTGAGTAAAATTTCTCAGGGATCAGATGCAGGCTTTTCATTAACTAGCAATGCCAGTAGAATCAAATTACATTCCACTCAGTATTCTAATTTATCAGTCAGGAGAAATGAAAATAATACTCAGGGAATTTTAGGTGAAAGAAAATCGAAATTACCTAATTTAAGTGAAACAAAATATGTAGCAACTTTACATGAGTCAGGTGAAATAATTGATTTTTCTGAGCAACCTATTCTGACCAGTTTGAGCGATTTTGATACAAATGACTGTGAAACCCCTCCTCTCTCAGCTTCTAGTGTAGCATCTAGCAAGCGTTTGGAATGGGATAATGGGGCTGATGTAGGATATAATATTGTAAAAACTACTGTAAATAATCATAAGGATATATCCAAAATTGCAAGAAGTGAACCAGAAGGTATCTCATTGATAGCTGAAAAGGCTAATGTGAACTATAACATTGCTCGTATGCCTCTTAGAAGCAACTCAATTAACATAACACAAAATAAGCCTAATGAGAATGAGCAATTTGATATTGCTAATGATTTAGAAGTTGATTCCTGTGATCTCTCTGACCTAAATGAAGTGAAAAATGAAAGTCTTGATTCTCTAGCTGAAATGCAAGCATATGATAGTGTAAAGACACATATCAGTATCAAATCAGCTGATGATTTGCATTTGCCATTGAAGGACTTAAATGAAAGCAATATCTCAGATGATACTTCTCAGCTACTTAAGAGTTCTGAGACATCGAATTTGGGTTTAGATCCTGCTCCTGAGTCTAGTCTTTCTATAAGTTATGAAAAAGTATTGAATTCAACCAAAGGAAATCAAATGTATGACAGTAGGCAAGGATTTCTAGTGGCTAACAAACTTAGAAACCCTATTGGAAAGCTAAATACTGTTAATAAATGTACTGCACCTGATCCTGAAGACTTTGCAGACAATTACAAAGAATCATATCAGATTGACCAAACTATAAGCAAAGAACAAACCTTTCATTTAGTTCCAAGGGAGTTATTTACAGCTCAGGATAGCTATTCAGTAGTAACAGAAGATGAAATAGTTAATAATCAAACCCCTAATAATGAAAAAATGGCTCAGCATAATTCTGAACTAGCTAAAAATAAAACAGCCAGGGATGTAAATTCTGATTCAGATGCAAAATATGTTACTGAAATATCTGAACTGTCAAGGGATTATCAAGAAGATTTGCTGCATTCTGGACCATTGTTTGTTCTAGACAAACATACAACAAACTTTTTTGAAGAAAATTTTAGTATCTCAAAAATGGTTACAAACATACTTCATGGCTCTTCTACTGCTGATCGCGCAACAAACGAAAATTTAGAAGTTAATCCTCATATTAGGTGGTACCCTTTTGTATCAGGGAGTGATATCCAGGATATAAAAGATGTTTCTACTCAAACTGCTGTGTCTTTTATAGCTGAACAAGCACAGGAAACACCACCACGTAATGGTTTTTATCAAGAATAGTATTCCAGAAAGAACTTCAGTGCCTTTTAATGTAACATCAGATGTTTTCTCATTAACAGAAAAATTTGTCTCTGCAGAAAAAAGTGATTCTGACAAATTAGGTAAAACAAATAAACTGCCTGATCATTGGTCAGTTTTACCAAAGTCATTTGTTAACATTTCAGTGGCATATCCTGAAATGCATGGTATATCCAACATGAAAATGAGTAAAAATAATAATACAGAGTCCCCATTTCCTATTTCGCAAGTTTATTCCAGTGAATTGCAATCAGTTGTTTCACCATGTGAAAATGATCATTTAAAAGTCAAAACAAGAAACAGTTTATCTGAAACCAAAGTAAATTCCTATTCCCATGAATGCTCTAAATCTAATTTTGACAGTGTTTCTTTATCTCGCTACGCTAATAGGAAAAAGAAGACAGGTACTTTAAATTCCTTTAATCATGGAGCTGCCCCTTCTGCATTACAAATTTCAGCTTCATCTATATTACACAATGAAGAATTTAATGAATCTGTGGATTTGCATGCATATGAGAGTTCAAATATTTTGTCTCCAGAATTACATCACTTGCATTATAATCATTTTAATACTTCAGGGTTAGTGATAATTTTTCTTTTACATTCATGATCTATTCTTGTAGTTAAAATATTTCCAGTTACTATTTAAAAATTTTATCACCTCTCAACCCCTTGAAAAGATTAACTTATTAATATGTGTAAAATAAAGATATTTTTTTTTCAGTTGAAAGTAAACAGAAAATATGTATAATAAAAGTATGGTAAAGTTTTTAAAGAATCATTTTATCACCTGTGAGTTTGTAGAATGAAAACTATTATTTTTAAAAAGAAAATCATATTAATTTTATTCATGTGCTATGTCTCTTTATATTGCTGTGAATCTGTTATGTAGAAATTGGTAGTCGAGTTGTGTTTAAACAAAATAAATAAATAAAATTAGAATTCTTTAAATGTAAATTAAATAATGATTGCTAACTATTTCATATAGTGGTTAGTTCAACTGTATCAATATAAATATAAAAGTGAATCTAAAAATATCTGAACAACCTGTCAGTGGCACTTCAAATTAAATACCATATTTAATTGGTTTAACATTATTTTTTTTTCATTTAAACAATGCAAAAAGGAGAATATTATTTTAAAGATATCTGGAATGATTCAGAAGTCAAACAACAAAAATTAGCATTAATTTTCAAAATTTTCACAGGACTAGTTTCGATGGTTTTACCGAACCACCATCCTCAGCTGCAAAACCACAAATGAACGAGATAGGAAATAATGATTAGATAAGATAAGAAAGCCTGGACAAGAATAAGCAAGTGGCGCCATTTGTTGGTGAAACCAGAACTAAAACATAATTTCTTTAAAGGCCAAAGGCAAAGATAGATTCTAATTAGGATCGTTAACAAGAATATAAAGATTTCTTTGAATGTGAAATGCCTCTAGAAAATCCAGTTCTCCAATGGAAGATGTCTTTTGAATAATTTTGGCAGCTGAAAAATTGAAAGTGTGATTTTCGGACCAACAATGTTGAGCAACAGAAGACTTCTGTGTTTCCTTTTTTCTAACATATGCCTCATGTTCCTTGACGCGAAATTTTAAGGCTGGCTTAGTTTGGCCAATGTAAATTAAACCACACTGGCAAGGAATCCTATAAATACCCCAAGAATTCATATCCGGAATGGGGTCCTTGATTATGGAACATCATTTTCTCTGCTCAGCTGAGCTGGCATTTCAAAAGGGTTCAACCACCTATCTTTGGTCTCTCAGTCCGCTGCCGTTACTGTATTCATTCTTGTCCTTTTGTGGAAAAGGGGTATTTTGGTTCGTTACCCGCAACCATTTTGTTTCCTTCACCACGTTCTCACATGACTGCTACTATTTGTCCACACCTCTCTCGGTCTCCCCTTGGCCACCGGGCTAGGAGAATTTATTCATAATCCAGTTTTGCTGTTATGTCCAAATAAGGCAATGCACTCCATTCATGGTCACTCTCGCATGACAAGAGACCAGTTTGTTTTCTTTAATAGGCAATCAACTCCCTGTTCTTGAAGGTTCAGTAGTCATTAGATAGGGATCACACATTCTCCTGTTCCCCCAAAAGGAAAGCCTTTAAAATCATTCTTTCTCATTCTCCCTCCTTCTAGAATTTTCTCTCATATTCTTTGCTTAAACTTGCAATGAGTATTATTTGCTTTTACAAATATATGTAAACAGTTTTAGAAACCAGTACTTCCAATTAAAAATATAAAAACATTAAATACAAGTTTTAAAATACATATAACATACAACCTTAATCCTTAAGAATTTCATTGTCATAACAGTGCTTAAATTAAACGCACAGAAAATTTAGCAGCATCTGCTTGTACTCTGTAACAAAACAGAAATCAATAACTTGCAGTATGATTCCTTCTAAAATTAGTATTAGAATTTAAAGTCCATAAGAAAAGATTCCATTACTTTCAATTTGCATCTATCCTACTAACAAAAAATAATCATAATCAATGCTCAACCGATAATTAAAAATATTCAATCAAACAAAATCAATTAAACCCAAAGTTTAAGGCAAGCTCACAAAACATAATTCGAAGATTCACTGGCTAAATTCAACACTTATGCCACCAAATGTTATATAGAATGACATAACAAATTTTTGATGTTTTATATTATTAAATTTTCATATTTTTAACACTTATTTATTTATGTATGAATGGCTGGCTTTTGACTCTTTAAGTGACTGGCCTTCTTGCCTACCAGTACTTTTGGATAGCAGAATTAAAACCATTTATACATTGTCATAGAATATTTAAGCACATATTTAATTCTTGAACCTGATATGAAAGAGATGATCAGTAAGACAATCATAGTTTAACCTTCCATCAGGTGTGGTACTTTTCATAATGAAAGCAGACATGGTGTGTCAAACTGATATATATTGACTGACTACTTTAAGAACTTTATCTAATATCCAAATGATGTTTTGTTTAGGATATTATTATAATAAACACATAACGTGAAATATATAAGTAGGTTTTAAAAATAGCTAGGAAAAAATAAAATGTTTACAACAAACAAGAAAATTTATTTATCCACTTGAATGAAATCATAACCTTGGGACTGAAGAAGCAAACTTTGTCTTCTGTTTCATATTAATTTGCAATCCATATATATATATAATGTAGGGATTCCCCCATTAAATATCGTTTTATTATTCCTATTTTAGAAAGAGGGTGAAATATTTTTATAACCTTTGAAAATTTCCAATCTGTATAAGAGATACATTTTTGAATGTTAGAATTTTAATTAAACCAAATTAAATTAAATTCAATTTTTTAAATGAAATACTGAGAACTTTTATTATGTGTGAATGTTGCAACTTTGTAACATACATTTTTAGATGTTGAGATTTTAAAAAATGTCCAATAAGCAGAGAAAAATTGAACAATTTTTAAAAATTCATCAAAAAACTTAATGAATAATTTCGTACAAATTTCATTAAAAGTTGTTTTATTCTATCTATAGGTGCAAACAGTAAATTTTAGAGACTTTTAATTTATTTAATGAAGATATGTGCAAAAATTCGTTTCACCATTAAATTTTAGAAAGTCTAAATTGAATTTTGAAAAACTCACTTCACTACATTGCATTGTCATCTACAAACAGTTATGTGTGCAAAATTCGAATTTGATAGCATATCATAAAGTTGTTTAAAAAATCAATGACAAACTTGGCACAATAACTAGTTCAGAAGGACAGTAAGGACAAAAAGTAAGCTTTAGTTTTCTAGAATTAAGTAAATCTTCAGTCACTATGCCATCTTTGTAACTCCATTTCATATGGTGAGCACTGATGATTGAGAAAACACTCTTTAGAAAAGGTAATAATTTTTTTTTTTAAATCATACATGGTGTGATGCACACACACACACCAAAAAAAAAAAAAAAAAAAAAAAAAAAAAAGACTGGTCCAATAAATCATTGTACTTACAGAATCAGTTCTCTGTGACATTATCACATTCAAAGTTCACATTCCCTTCAGCGTTCACATTTCTGCATTCGGTGCTGTCATTGCTGGTAACAGTTCTGGAACGAGGTTTTTGGAAGCCCTTCAGGAGATTTTCCGTTTTGCCTGATTTCTGTTTTGTGAACCTCTTCAGAGGTTCTCTCTCTTGAGGTAAAAATGGGTTGCCTTTAAGTAAGATTTAACTTTAGGACATTAAAAAAGTCACGTGGAGTCAAATCTGGTGAATAGCCCCATCACAGTAATGTTTTTGTTGGTCAAAAATTGTTTGACAGTTAGGGCTATGTGAGCAGGTGCATTGTCCTGGTGCAACAGCCATCCATCACCCCACAACTATGGATGTCTTTTCCTAAATTTTTTCACGAAGTAACTTTTTAGTACCATCTCTCCATCGGTACTTACATCAGTATTATCCAAAAGGATAAAAATTGCAGCAGAATAATAGACTTTATGTATTGAGGAAAAGATTACAAAACCCAAGATCTGGAATCTTCAAGACTTCAACAAATCTAGATTTTGGATTTTTGACCAATTTAAATCTAATGATGTGACATATAAGAATTCTAAACTTAAATATTTAAAATGGTTGTTTAGGAAGTAATGAAGCATCTGTGACCTTAATGGTAGTAAAATTTCTAAAAAACAGCGTTGTGTTAACATCTATTTTATTTTATGAAACATTTTTTTCAGCATAAATTGTTTAAGAAATTTGTTTATTTTTATTTTTCTTTGGAGGGGTGGGAGAGGACTAATATTTTCCTTTTAATTTTACAGAAAAAACTTATAATTTTCTGTTTCTTGTTCAGTTGCAAAGTTACATTGTTCTAATCTTGTTACTGCCATGTTGATAATTCCCACTAAATTATTATTTGAAATCTATTCATTATCAGCACTTTTTTGGTCACTTTCTTCACTATTAGTGGCCTTTTTTTTTTTTTTTTTTTTTTTTTTTCTGAATTCAAAACCCTGCAGCAGATTCACCACTTGTCAGGTGATTGATAGTTGGGGTATTGCCATCATAATAGACTTCTTCATTTAGCACTTCTATCCATTTCATATGGAAAATTTTGACATTTACATGCGATATCCCCAAACCATCAAATTCATGGTTATCATAAAATATCATTTGAAATATGATAGCTGGCCATAAATTATGCCATACGCTTTTAAAAATATCCACAGACATGTCTTCCTATGATCTTAAAAGAGCAATTTGGAAACTAACATTCATTGTGTCTTGGTGATACCAGTAGTGGGCAGAGTGCAACCATTGGTCATCAACAATCTGTGATTAAGATTCCTGTAATCCTAGTGAGAGTGTCATACTGCTGCCTGTGTTCTGGTTATACCATCACAAAATGTGCACAGCTATTGTAAATCATGTCAAATGTGAGGTAAGATGAGTAGTATGATTTCTTTGGGGAAAGAAAACTGTCAGCGGCAGACATTCATCATGAATTTTGTGTTATATATTTCCCAAGCATTATGAGTGAAGATGTAACGCATCAGTGTGTGAGGTTTTTCGAAGAGAAAAGAACAAACAATCATAATGAATCAAG